GTGACTAAAGCAGGGTCGTCGTCATACAGTCAAGGGAGAGTCTAGAAAGTACCAGTCCGGTCCAGCAAGTACCACGGGGGGAACTGTGTGCACCATGGGCCAGGGACACAGGGCAGACCAATATGCAGCACAGAAGTATAAATCAAGAGGCTACGTCCATTCATGGATTCATTCCTGCGGATGCCATGCGGAAGGGCTGCCTAGCAGCTTGTGCGAGGAGGTCTGCAGAGTGCCCGAAGACGAAGTGGGCAGAGGAGTAGAGTGCAGCGATAGGTAGTGGCAGCTAGCGCTGCCATAGCTGTAGCCTAGCATGTGTGTGTGTGAAGTGTGATACTGAGTGTTGCGTGTGGGACATCCAGGGTGATCCAGAGTGCGAACAGTAAGTTGTGTGGGCGCTCAGTCGCCATAGCCAGTTTGAAGAGAACTCTTATGTGGATACGATATCTTGAGTACTGAGTGGGCGCCTGTCGCCAATTTGCTGTTTCGCTGTTTGCATACATGACAAGTTGAATAATCGTAGTGTGATTTCAACCAGCAAAGACCAATGATAATCCCCTTCTTCTTCGACAACATCTCTCCTCCTCCTTGTCTCCTCCCCTCTTATTCAAACAAGAAATAATAATAATAATGTTGAATGGCTGAACCAGAATCAATGTCTGAATCCCTCTTCTACTGCAGGTATCATATGAGGTCCACCATAGCCATGGCCACCATTCTTCCTCTTCCTCCAATCTTCCTCTTCCTCCAAGGCCGAGGCTATGGCAGACTACCATGGGCATTGCCCTGCTGTGCAAAGGACAACACAAAGCAGCTATGGTTGCTCCTGTTCAGGCCACCATGCCTGACTCTGCCGTAATGCAACCTATTTGGCGTCATGTCGGTGGAAGGAAGGTCCTAACACCTTGCCCACATTTTCCCCCTGATCACGGCTGAGAGATTCATGAACTTTGTTCAACCCACTATTCGGAATCCTTGCTGTTACTACTGTCTTCCCCCGAATAAAACGTACTGTCATTAATGCTATCTTTGGAGCAATTGCAAGTCTAGATTCTAGATACAGCCATAATGACCGTACGTTCTATTCAGATGAGCACGGTAGGAAAGGCTTGGATAAGTGACTTCTTCTCCCTCAGATAAGTGGCATGCCTATGTGCACCTCTTGTCAAGGTTGTTTCGTGGATTTGTTCCTTGATTCTCTGATTTTTTGCCTATCGACGAGTGGGCTATACTTCACAGATCACTTTTTTTTCCTGGAAATTTGGAAAACAAAAACAGAGGCGGAATTCCACGGTGCTGGCTTGTCATGCAAATGGAGGGGATAGAACAGCTGGTCATCATAGCAGCATTTGGTACAACTTTCAGTCTAGATACGGCAATAATGACTGGGCGTTCTATTGCGGTGAAGAAAGCAGCATGGGGAAAGCCTCCTCTTGGAATAGGGATGCAGAAGCCTAATCTGTAGCACTAGTTTGGGCCAGGTTCTGGATTCGAGTCCAGCCTGCGTCTAACAAACAGAAAGTACATTCCTTGGTTGGTGGATACTCAATGTGGCTACCATCTTCACCAAAATAGAATGCACTGCCCTTATCACTGTATCTATGGACCGAACCTTACCCCAAATACAGCTATAATGAATGTGAATCTTTTCGGGTGAAGACGGCAGTTCTCTTCAGCAACATACATACCCAAGCTTTCGCGCAAACGGCAGAACAAACCCCCCAAGGCAGCAATCCACATGTAGACAAACATTGGCGCTTCTGGCAAGCGCCGCAATGTCCTGCAAACACACCCAGACAGACATGGCCACAGCAATCCAGCGAATCACACGAGAGAGTAGTCATAAGAATGACAGCCAATCAATAGGGTAGTCATAAGGCTCACAGCCAATCAAGAGGATAGTCACGAGAGTGATAACCAATCAAACAAACGTGAGGGTGGTCATAAGACACATAACGAATCAGTGTTGCATACCCCGACGGTCGGCACCCCTTGACTGGTCGGCTGGTCGGCACCTAACGGTTGGGTGTTGTCGGCACCCCACAAAAAATTTGGGTCCAGAACCCCCAACATCCCCACCAACAGCCCTATACCCACCCCCAA